TTTTTTGCCTTCAGAACTTTCTGCTTGTTAACTGCTGCCCGTGTTCCAGATGTAATCCATGCATCTTTCTTCTACACCTTTTGGAGGTCCAGCTGTCTCAACTACAGTCTTCAAATTTGACCATCTGTCTTCCACACTTTCCTGCGCCTGTAAAATACTGTAACTGTTTCTAAAAGCAATCTGATCTGTATTTTGTTGTCCTTGAACTTTGCTATTGCTGTAACACTCTTTTTGTCTGTCTTTATGATCTTTTTAAGTTTACATTGTAACGTGGCCACTAAAAGATAATCATCCAAGCCAACATCTGGGTAGGGACACTCCTCAAAGATGATGCTCACCCTTGAGATACACACACATGGTCTATCTGGTTAACAGTTGCATTCTTTGCTGATCTCCATGTGAGCTTGTGGATCCTCTTATACTGGAAGAGACTGACTCCTATCTTTAGAGGGTTTGTGCCACAGAGAATCAAAAGCGGTTTGCTATTATCAGCATGGATGCCTTCCACTTCTTTGCCTATGATATCATGGTTAGGCACATTATCCAAAATTTGCTGTACCTGCTCAAAGAACGTATCCATTTCAGGGTCGCCTGCTGAATTTGTTGGTGCATACACTTGGATTATTGTACACTTGATATGTCTTGTTTGCAGACTGGCTGTTATTCTGCCATTCATTGGTTCTCAAGCCAGCAGGGTCTTCACTGGAATGTTATCCTGCATAATTCCTACACTTCTTTTGTGCATTCCTTCTCCTGAGTATAAGACTGTAGCACCACCAGACAACATCTTGTCACTCCCTGCCCTTCTCATTGCACTGACACCAAGTATGTGTCAGTGCAATGAAACATGGTATTGTTTTCATATTTTCTGTAACTTGTGCCAGCTTTCCCTTACTACACAAAGTTCATACATTCTATATGCCTACTCTTGTTACAAATATGGTCATCGACATTTGATGTCTCAAGAACTCTGCTTCCTTTCAGTTTTTACTGAGATCTTCGGTCTTGAGCGCCATCTGTACTTAGCAACCTCAAGTTTTGGTTTAACTGAACTGTTTCTGCTGCAGTAAGGTTTTACCTGCATGGGTCACAAATCCAACTGCAGAATCCTCCTCTTTTAGCCAGTGGGACCACCAGTGTTGCTAACAGTGCAGAGCATTTGACTAGTGGTGTTGAAACAAACAGTTAAAGTTCAAATTAAGCATGTGTTTAAATGTCTTGCTGAATCAAGAGTCTATATTATCATCCTAAATGTTGGATTGATGGGTGAAGGATAGGGAACCTAAATTATGGTTCCTAATATCATTATCTGTGCGTTTTGAGTGAATACTAAGCAGATATGAGCAAGTTCTGTTTGGTTTTTTAAGGACAAAACTTCAAAAATCACACTTCTGTCTGAAAACTGTATGCATACTATAGCTAAACACCTAAGCTTACGATAACTAACAGAAGCGGGACAAAAATATTTCTCTGTTTTTCCAGTTTGTTTACTCTGTCCATCTGATAGTACTTTGTGTACAATTAGCATCATCATTTCCCCATATAAGTCAGTTTCTCCCTTATTGAAAATATTCAAGCATCCACAGGAGAGAAGAAAAATATTTATTAAAAATACTAAAGAATTTTAAAAAATCAGGATGTATTAATTAAAGGGTGCTCTATCAGAAAATTATGTTTTGTCATTTAAAAAAAAATTAAGTTGACAGTGTCTTTAACCTTTGCATTAATATATATGCATACACTTATATTTCTATATTTGCTGGTTTATAGCACCTAGAGTATTAAACAGATGCCATATAAACTGAAAAACAGATATAGAAAGCTGCACATTATCACCATGGATACGGACGTGGTAGGTACCAAGGCTCCATGGACCAAGGCACTTTGTACCAAAGTTGAAACCTACTGAAGAAAAGATTAGATTTTTTTCCCCCCGCAATGGGCAACATCTAACTAACTATAAGAATGAATTAACTAACAATCACCTAAATAGTAAGATTACTAACTAAGGTCAGTTGCACAGTGCACACAGAAAACAGGGGAAAACTGCAGGAGTTTGGTCTCACTGGCACGATCAATAAGAAGAAACTGAGGGTCAGTAGGGCCCATTCCCCCTTATAGCCCTTGGATGGGGATACACAAGGACAGCTAGGGTGCAGGCACAGCCTGAACAGACACTACTGGCCAAAAAAAATCAGGGTGCATGACACACAATATCAAAGAGTTGAACCCATGTGGATAATTACACAAAGAAGAACTAAAAATTAAGAATTCTATGCGTACACATTCAGAGATCGAAAAATATTCACAAAGTTCAATTTTCAGTTGAACAAAAATGTGATGTCACAACAAAGCAATTATTCATAATTTACCTCATCAATGATCTGATCCTACAAGGTGCTAAGTACCCGTATCCACTGACATCAATGCTCTATACCTTCTAGAATCAGCTCCTTGAATAGGATTTCATGCCACAGAACAACAATCAGCTTTTTCCTCCTACTCTGCTTTCCCATCATAATAAATACCTTATAGATTAAATCTTACTGTCATAGTGTGTGTTAAAGATGGCAGCATAATTCTTCTGAACAATCTAAGAGTATAAGCGCTTGTCTACATGTCACAGCAAAGCACATTTGAGGGGTGTAATTTGTAAAGTGCTCTAAATGTGCTGTGCTATAGCTGCCCTGTATAGACCCGGCTAGTGCAAACTATAAGGTATCTAGACAGGTTTCAGAGTAGCAGCTGTGTTAGTCTGTATTCGCAAAAAGAAAAGGAGTACTTGTGGCACCTTAGAGACTAACCAATTTATCTGAGCATAAGCTTTCGTGAGCTACAGCTCACTTCATCGGAAATGCATCCGATGAAGTGAGCTGTAGCTCACGAAAGCTTATGCTAAAACAAATTGGTTAGTCTCTAAGGTGCCACAAGTACTCCTTTTCTTTATAAGGTATCTAGTTTGCCTTAATGTATATGACAAAACACGTAAGAGAGTTAAAAGAATTACTCAACCAGCAAAAATAAGACAACCTGTCTTCCTCAGCATTTTAAAACACAAATTATTGATCTGCATAATTAAGGAAAATTAAAAACATAAAATAAGGATTGGGTCTCAAAGGATGAATAATTAATAATATATCAAACTGAAAGCTGGGACTACTCTGTTCTGCCAAGTTTTGCCACTTATCTTGGGCAAGCTACTCCATCTTTTTATACCGCAGGTCCCCAACCTATGAAGTGGGGTCAATGATAATTACTCTTTTCACAAGTGTGTTGTGAGAATTAATATAATGTATGCAACAAACTGGATAAAAGAGGCTATAAAAGTTTTATTATTTAGTGTTTCCACAACATTTGGCATGAAATTATCCAGATACCATGTTCATTACACCTAAAAAAATTATGACATTTACAGGCTGCAAACATGAAAACAAATAATGTTCTTTAAATATTTTTGTAATTATATTTTACACTGTATTTATTCTTGGTGCACAAGCTCTTGTTTCAGAGATGAAGCATTTTAAATGCAGGAATGTTTTGTGCACTTTTCTCTGCAATGTACTCAGAGTTAAGAAACTGATGGTTTAATTAGGGAGGCCTGCTCAGTGGTGTGTAAAGCACTTTAGTTTATGACATCATTGCTTCTGCTCCTAGGAAATGTGGTAAAAATGCTCAGCACTTAAAAAGCTACAATAGGAACACAACTACATTTTAAAATAACCTTTCAAAATACATATAAATACGTTATGCTTTATGTTTATGCACTGAAACATGAAACATTTGGGGGGTTAGTTCTCCTTTAATGTGGAAACTAGAATAAAACTTTCCAAAATACAGATATGTCCTTTGCTTAGATAGTCAACCTACCCCCATCAGCATGAATATCCATCTACTAGCCACTAAAACAGACATAAACCAAATCAATGATCATCAGTCAGCAACAGAGCCCACTCTCAGAGTTTTACTTCTCCCCCTTAAAAAAGAAAAGAAGAAAGATTTAGTTCTTCTTTATACATAACCTTTTTTTTTTTTTTTTGGGGGGGGTGGTCAAATTTCTTGATTTTAAGTGACCACTGTGGGAGGTGCATCTCCTTTTGTTAGCAGTTGCCTAACCCAAGCTCCATGTAAGAAGAATCTATCTTCGTTTTACCATAATCACCCCCAAGGAAGTAAATATTTCTTTGTTTAGCATCTTTCAGTGGAAAAGGTAACTTGAAGAGATTCACAAGACGTTTCCGAGACATTAAGTAATGTAAAATGGGGAAAGTGAAAAAGCCAGAAGCTAAATTAAACAAAGAGACAGGAAAGACCTGAGGATAAGCCCCAGTGTCATGTCTTGCACTACCAGACTTCTGACTCCAGTGTAAAACAAAACTTACCTGAAAAATAGACAAACATACCATGAACTTTAAGTGGCAAATCAGCAATCTCAAATCTATGTTTTTGAAGAGATCGCTCATATGAGTAAAGCTACTCAAGTGTAACTGTTTGAAGGATCAGATCCTAAAAACAGGAATGCACTCAGTTTTACTTAGACTTGTGATTTTGCTTCATTTTCATTTAGCTACAAAAATTATATTTACTTTTGAGTACTTTTGTACCCAAATAGTAACAATGAAATGTGACATGAAACAGGAACTGCAGTTCCTTCAATAAAGTGGAGAGATTTGGCAAATAAGACTTGCTGGATATATTTAGTAAACTATACAAAATGAAGATCACATTTATTATGCTATGAAAATGTGACGAAGGATAAACACACTATGTATTTTATTCCACTCTGCCTGTCCACAACATATATAAGATACCTTTTATTCAATTAATTTTTGTTTTATTCCTTAATCCATTCATTGCCTATTAACAAAGGAATACAACTTAGTCGTCAGACCAATACTAAGAGCTGTAATTCTCAAATTACAAAATATTTCAGATGAGAACTGAAGTTCACATATGTAAACTATTTGCAAAGGTGCCTTAAATTCTTAAGATTAAGCTTTTACCTTTCTTTAATGAATGTAATGCTGATGTGAAGAATGTCAAATAACCGGGAGGCTGAGGTGAAGCATTGAACTCAAAATATCCTAGAACTCCAGGCTGCAAGAATAAGAATTAGAGTTAGCTAAGCTATTACAAAACTACACATTTATGGGACACTGCAATTATTTAACTATAGTAAAAAACAAACAGATTAAACATTAATGGGCTGTTTTGTTTTGGAAAAACAAACTAGCCATTTTTCTCTGCAAGAAAAGTGGATCTTAAAAGGAGGGGAAAAAAATCAGCCAATACTATAATTTGGAAAATGTGCACAAGACCAAATCTGTATATATGCAGAACATTATAATTTCAGTGTTACATATTTCCTGTGTTAGTGGTTACATTATTCTCTAAGCAAATGGTAATAATTTAAAATACTTGCAGGAGTCAAGCTTCAGTACCACCACATTGATGGAATATTTCATTTTCTACCTAGCACCATACTGCGTTCTTTTGAAATTGAGATTTGGGATTTAATGTGTCGTACAATGAAGTCAACTGTAACCCTTTTTCAACGTAAAATACTTGGTTTTCTTTAAGTTTTTACTATACTGTGCATGATTCACATCTATATATGAAGCCTCTGCATGACTGCCAGTCTACATCACACTGGGAAGCTATCAGCCATATGAGATTCTTGCAAGGGAAATCAGTGAGAGACTGATTTCACAAAAACAAAGGGAAGAAACCCAGATCCTGGCCCAGGCAACCAGGTAATTTGAGATTTAAAGGATCTGTGATCTCCCGAAAGAGAGACAAAATTTTTGTCCATCGAGACTGGGTTGAGGGTGCGGAGAATACTGGTCACATCAAAATAGGCAGAGATTACAGATCCCATTCCATGTGATAATAGTGAAGGGGTACAAAAGTGATTCTTAGAATTTAGATACTTGAGCAGACAGATCAGAATGTAAGACAGCCTTCCTTGAACCATTTATATTTGCATTTGCAGATAAAACAATTCATCACACACTCAACTTGCACTGATCAGGAGGCATGTTCCCAGACCTGGAGCTCAGGTGTCGGACTCTTATTCACACTTCATTTTCTTGATAACTGCACTGCTATCTCGACAAAGAGCTACACAATAGGTTTAAAAGTTACCTTTTAAAAATGAACACTAAATGCAACTTGTTAACATTAATGTGAAATACTGAATTTTATTTGTTGTAAGTGTGGATGGTTATCCTTTCACTGTTCTATGATGCAAGAAGATTTCTCTGCATTCACTTTTCCTAGTGAAATAACTTTTAAGTGAAAAAGGTCAGGTGTCACATTTCAAATTCTGCCTTAAAATACAGCTGAAAATGAATTCTGTAGTCTCGTCCAAGTCCCAAATACACAGACATTTGTCCATATCACACACACTCTCTCTGTCTTGTGGACACACACACTCACACTCTCTCTCTCTCACATGCATACAACCCCACATTAGACAACTGGGCACGCCTGACAGTCTCTACTCAAATAAGGCCCATGACTGGAAAAGCAAACTGTGGAGAGCTACAAAGGGATCTCACAAAACTGGGTGACTGGATAAGAAAACAGCAGATGAAATTCAATGTTGATAAATGCAAAGTAATGCACATTGGAAAACACAATCTCAATGATACATACAAAATAATGGGATCTAAATTAGCTGTTACCACTCAACAAAGATCTTGGAGTCAGTGTGGATAGTTTTCTGAAAACACCTGCTCAATGTGCAGCAGCAGCCAAAAAGCGAATGATGTTAGGAACCATCAGGAAAGGGATCGATAAGAAGACAGAAAATATCGTGACACTACATAAATCCATTGTACAAGCACACCTTGAATACTGCATGCCGTTCTGGTTGTCCCATCTCAAGAGAGATGTTTTAAGAGCCCAGCCACATATTTCAACTTACTACAATATTGCCCACCCTTGCTGGAACTATGAAATGTAAGCAGCTGAGAGAAGCATCCAATGAAGAGAAGCAACCAGTGAGATACTTCATGAGGTGGCTTTGATTTTCTTGTCTTTGAATGATTCAAATATGGATTATAAAATATAATCACAGCTTTACTAAAATATATTCTACCTTTATTTTGTACATGAAGTTTGTGATCCTTTATAGCAACTGATTGCGAGATATTACCAACAAACTACATCCTACATCAAGACAGCAGTGGTTCTGGAAAAGTACCCAGAAGCTACAGATATTCAAAGGGGGTGCAAAGGAGGCTTCAAAACAAAATCTTTAACTAGCTTCCAGGCTTTTTCCCATAGTTTGAGAAAGGAAGTTACCTACAGATATAGCTGTATCTTTAAACAAAAAAAGTCATACTGCTCCCACTTTGGGAAGAAAGATTGAGTCTGACATTCTTTTGATGTGTGTAAAAGTTCAGGATCTCTGCCACTTCTGGGATTCAAGGACTACACACTCACTGATTCTGGGGAGGGTCAAATGAAGGGGGATACACAGCTCCTACTTAGAAGATACTGGGAAATGTTTTCTGTTCATTTTGCCTTATTTTACTAGATTGGTTCTTCTGGGGTTTTTGAGAGATTGAACTACACCAGGCTCTCAGTTCTCTTTTTAGTGTGGTGTAAAATGGACACTTCTCTTCGGAATTCTCTTGATTTCTCTCTCTTCTGAAACCGTTCTGATTCTGAAAGTTCCTTTTCTTCTGTGAATGAGGAAGAACTGGAGGATGAGAACTGATTCAGGGCTTCTGGATTTTTTCCATTCTGGTTTTGTCCTGCTGCTTGGACTATTTTACCTCCATCTGCCCCCAGTCTCATTGGGAGGAAGAAGCATGACTCCATGGTCTTGGTCTTTTCTCTTCAGCACTAGAGCAGTGACAGGATCTATACTGCTGTCTGATGAAGGATGCTTGCTTTCTCTCTTCTTGAGAAAGGGAGATAGAATCACTAGGGATTTCCTCACTTTTTCTGGGACAAGTAGAATCAAAAGATATGTGTACACTTCGAGCTCCAGGGTCAGAGTCCCATCTTGGGCGGACATACCCCCACTAGCTCTGATCAAGCTAGCATGCTAAAAATAGAGGATAGCCACAGTGACGCAAGGGGCTAGCCACCCCGAGTATGTATCATCCAAGATGCTAGGCAGGTACTTAGGGCCACTAACCCCTCATACTGCTCATGCTGCCATAGCTACACTCTATTTTTAGCACACTAGCATGATCAGAGCTAATATGCATATGTTCCTTGAGCGGCCTGTCAACACTTGTGGCACCTTAGAGACTAACCAATTTATTTGAGCATAAGCTTATTTGAGCATAAGCTGTAGCTCACGAAAGCTAATGCTCAAATAAATTGGTTAGTCTCTAAGGTGCCACAAGTACTCCTTTTCTTTTTGCGAATACAGACTAACAGGGCTGTTACTCTGAAACCTGTCAACACTGGTTCTCCACTTGTAAGGGAACACCCTTATCTTCATGTGTCAGTATAATAATGCCTGCATCTGTAATTTTCCGATTACATGTTCCGATCTCATACCAATTTTACAATGGTGTAAGTCCACTGCTGCCTTCAACAGAGTTCTATACTAGTTTTAGGGAGAGAAGAATCAGCACTTTCAAATCTAGAAAATAATACACTTTTCAACCAGGTATTTTATCATAGGGTTTGTGGCCCTCTTGTGGCATTAAGTATAGCTTTTCGGTCTATTAATCTTTACTAATCTATTTTTGTTATACAGTCACTTTCCCATCAACTTGCTGTTTTCATCTTAAATAAGATGTCAAAACAAAGTCAAATGTTGATAAAAATTTTCTACATCCTTTCCGACATTCTATCAAAAATGTTTTGTACATTTAATTTTGAAGAATTTCACTTCTGATGTACTTTTTGTCTGTGTAAATGAAGAGGAAGAAAAGGGACACTTGTAAATATGAATTGCTAATTCCCCCAAATATATCACACTAGTCCCTTACAAAATGTGTCCCCTGGCACAATAAGAAAAAATAAAATATTCTGCTCAGAAATAGTTTAAATCTTTTTTGGCCATCTAACAAACCAAATGGTATTCTGAGATTTTCCTATGTCTCTCATAAACAAAGAATCCCCAAAATAAGATCAGTGATATGACTAAAAGAATAATTTACAGCAAACTGTTTTTCCGCAGACTTCTCCCCTGGTCCAAACACAGGAAATCACAATGTACACACTGTGGAAGTATAACATTGTATAAGTATAACGTTGTATAAGGGGACATGCTGGATACATTGTATATGAGAGGGCATGCCAAAACATGTTACAAAGTATCTGAGGGAGCATACGTAGGGACAGTTAGCTTTTGAATGGAGAAGCAATTAAGATAGAGCCAGCACGTCTAAGAAGCAGGCATCAGAATGGAAGGTGTGAAGGGTAATTAGTTAAGTTAACTGGAAGCTGTTAAAGGAGATTGTTAAGGGTGGCAGGTAATTGAAGATACCTGACTGGTCTCAGGGATCTCGAAGGGTGGTGACTAAAATCTTTTTCTTCTTTTGTCTGTAGCTTCTCTGTAACTTGTTCTCCAAAAAACTGTATAAATTAAAAGACACAAGCCCCACTCAGTGGGCTCACTTCTAAATGTATTAGCAGAGCAGCTTTGCTAATAGAACAGAGTGGTCTGATAAATTGTGAGTCTGAGTCAAACTTTGACAATTTGGAGGTTCCACCGAGATGGCAAGCGGCTTCACTGAGGCTGTGTGATCCCTGACTGCCTTGCAGGACGATCGTGGCAGCCGGCGCCTGGACGCTTAGTCCAAGCGATCCTCCACAAGACAGAAAGGTACACAGCAGCAGCGCAGTCTACGCCATTGAACTTGTTGGTTCCCACTCTGTTCGTGTAGGGGTCTTTGGATCCAGCTTCTGGAATCAGACATCTCAGGTAATTATTTTTGTGCTTTAACTGGTTTGAGGACTGTCTTGTCTTTGTGTCTATCCGTCTTCCCCATGGTGTATGTGTGAATCTGGGAGCCATCTCTGTCCGGAGACTGGCTGACCAAGGGGTCCCCGTCCCCACGGTCTGAATAAGTGGAATCTGCACAGCTGCAGCCGCACCATGCCTTGGGTATAACCCCTGGTGT